TGGGGGGTGGCCTTCATATAGAGCCTATTGGTTCCCTTTCTCTGGAGAACCCCAAGACCCCCTATGTGTTGCCCTCGAGTTTAAAGACTCAAATAATGAGGTTAAGACACGGCTCCTTCCGTGGAGCCTTGGAAAACACACTTGGGTATTGGACATCCTGAGTTCAGGTGGCAGACTTGACTAAGCACACTCCCGGATGGCCAGGCCTGGTCTTAAATTAGGGGGCGGCGGGGACGGGGAGAGCTTTAATTAGTTCTCTAATTAGGGGGGACGAGCTTCCTGGACGGAGGCGTTTGACTGGATTGGGTAGAACATGGCATGGAAGCCAATGGGCTCAACATCCGAGGGACAGCACGGAGCGAAGTTCTGATTATTGCTCACGCCATGTGGGCTGGTGGATAGGGGCTCTCTCTCTCTCTCTCTCTCTCTCTCTCTCTCTCTCTCTGCTGTGGAGGTGACAGGGGAGGGTATTTGTGGTGCCTAGGGGCTGAGCACGCACACAAAGTGCCTTTTCAAGGGGGAAAGAAATGCAGGCCTGTGCGTCAAGCAGCGTGGAGCTCATTAGTTCCCCAACTGGGCGCCGTTCTTTACAAGGACAACTTCCTCCGGGCTGGGGACGGGGAGGGGGTGCGAGGGACGGAGAAGGTGGGCTGCCCGCGAGGCGGAGGTGACGGGGGAGGGTATTTGTGGTGCCTAGGGGCTGAGCACGCACACAAAGTGCCTTTTCAAGGGGGAAAGAAATGCAGGCCTGTGCGTCAAGCAGCGTGGAGCTCATTAGTTCCCCAACTGGGCGCCGTTCTTTACAAGGACAACTTCCTCCGGGCTGGGGACGGGGAGGGGGTGCGAGGGACGGAGAAGGTGGGCTGCCCGCGAGGCTGCGGGCTCCTGTCTCGGCTCTGTCTCCGACTCCGAGGTGACTAAATTAGAAACAGCCCACCGAGCCCTGAGCTCCCTGCAGAAGCTGCCACCCGCCCGAGGTCATGGCCCCAGCAGGGGAGTGGTTGGTGCCTCAGAGCTGGGGGCTCGTTAACATTTCTAGGGGGAGCTGCCAGGAGCTGAGTCCCTCCAGCAGGACTCAGGTGACGTCAGGGGGCCCCCAGGATAGGGCCTGGGTGGGGGGCGGCCTCGGGGAGTCCCAGGGAGCAGAGTCAATGTCCTGTTCTAGTGACAGGCCCTTGGGATCCTAGGAAACCCATTCATTCATATTTGCTCGCAAAGCTACCGATTTCTTTTTTATTTTTTTAAAATATATATTTTATTGATTTTTTACAGACAGGAAGGGAGAGGGATAGAGAGTTAGAAAAATCGATCAGCTGCCTCATGCATGCCCCCTACTGGGAATGTGCCCGCAACCAAGGTACGTGCCCTTGACCAGAATCGAACCCGGGACCCTTCAGTCCGCAGGCCGACGCTCTATCCACGGAGCCACACTGTCCAGGGTGAAGAGCTGGTTTTTAATACGACCCATTTATTTAACTGATGTTGTAGACGTGTGTTTATGGAAAAGGGAAAGATGTTACCAACATAAAGTGATCAGATGGGAATCCCCAAGCCTTATTTCGTAATAATTTGAACAAACGACACGTAAATAGTGTGCATTTTTGCCAAAACACTTTTAATAACTTGAAAGCAAAGGGGACGATTCACCGGTACTTGCAGCGTTTAATCTCCCAACATCGGCCGCTTTCAAAAACACGCTGTTTCCCAGAGACGGTGCCATTGTGACGACGGGCTATTATAATTTCTCAGAGAAGTATTTAAATGACGAGGGAGAAAAGCAGACGTGCTGGGGAACCAGATTCTGGCAGGCTTTCCAGCTGGATGGGAAGAGTCCGGGTCATTTGGGGAACTGAATTTCCTATTACTTGGCAGGAATTTTTTTTTTTTAAATGTGTTTTTTTCCTTGAGAAATGATAGTGGCTATTTTCGGAAAATGCCCACTTTCTCACGAAAGGCTTTTCTTGAGAACATACATCCCGTCACCTCGTCGCCCCATCTCCTCTCGCTCCCTGGCTAGCGTCCCCCTTTCACAGCAGGAGGCACCCCTTTTTATGTTCTGGTGGGTCCTCTTCATCAGAAGGAGCCGAAAGCTCTCCCTTTTCCCAATTTTATGAAATCGTAAGACCATGGACACAGCTTTCCAGGGCCTTGACCGAGGCCTGGGTAAGCCCGGGACCCCGAAACCTCCCCATCAGAGTAAGTTCACCTCTCTTTCTTCTTTTTATTAAACTTTCATTTTTTAAAAAAATATTTTTATTGATGTCAGAGAGGAAGGGAGGGGGGGAGAGAGAGAGAGAGAGAGAGAGAGAGAAGCATCCATGATGAGAGAGAAGCATGGATCGGCTGCCTCCTGCACGCCCCAGACTGCGGATCGAGCCCACACAACCCGGGCATGTGCCCTGATGGGGAGTCGAACCTTGACCTCCAGGTCATAGGTCAGCGCTCAACTCCTAAGCCATGGCTGGTTGGGCTCACCTCTATTTCTGAACCCTTAAACCTCAGATACTCATATTTATCTTTGTTTTTTCCAGGGGAAGAATTGTTGACAATTACGAAATTGATGCTCACTCAGGTAAGTTGTACGATTTGTAGAGACCCCTCGGCTAATCCATAACAGAAATAAGACGAGATTCTACCAGCCCTGGCCGGGTGGCCCCGTCCGTCACAGCGTCGTCCTGATACACCAAGATCTCAGGTTTGGTCCCCGGTCAGGGCTCATACAAGCATCTACCAATGAATGCACAGAAGAGTAGAACAAACACATCAATGTGTCTCCTTCTCTCTCTCTCTCTCTCTCTCTCAAGAAACATCAATAGATAACATCCTATATAATAAAACCCTAATATGCAAATTGACCAAACGGCAGAATGACTGGTCGCTATGACATGCACTGACCACCAGGGGGCAGATGCTCAATGCAGGAGCTGTGCAAAGCATGGGTGTGCATATAAAATCTTTTTGCTCAGCCAGAAGCCGGGCTCACGGCTGGCAAGCTCAGAGGCAGTGGCGGGAGCCTCTCCCACCTCTGCGGCAGCACTAAGGACCCCTCGGGGGATGTCCAACTGCTGGCTTAGGCCCGCTCCCCAGGCAGACATCCCTTGAGGGGTCCCAGACTGTGAGAGGGCGCAGGCCGGACTGAGGGACCCCCCTTCTCCCAGTGCATGAATGTCATGCACCTGGCCTCTAGTTTTAAATAAAAGACTAGATTCCAGGTCTCTCAATTGTGCCCATTTCTCATATGGATGAAGAGTCCGCCCACGAAAGTGTATTTGGAAGTGAGTGTCCTCTTCCGTAACGCAGGCCTCTGCTCCCTCCCTCAGGGGCGCACGCTTCTCCTCTGCAGTGTGGGGTCTCAGCCCTCGGCTACCGCGTAGTGGGCAGTTTCCAGTCCAGCGCAGGCCACCGTGGGGGCCCAGCCCAGAGGTCAATGTGCAGGTGGGTGTCACGTCTGCTTCCTTTGAAGTGCGTGCGATCAGACTCAAGCAACAAATATCAAAAGGCTGGACAGGGACCCCCCCCCCCAAGACCTCACGGAGGGGCCCCAGTTGTTAGGATTCGACGGTTTTCTTTGCCTACCTGTCTCTCTGTCTCGATGTGATCTCTTTGTTATATACATATATCTATACTAATAGAAGCCTTGGGGGCGGTCAGGCCATCAGGGAGGGGAGTTGGGGGCAATCAGGCCATCAGGGAGGGCATTTGGGGGTGATCAGGCCATCAGGGGAGGGCATTTGGGGGCGATCAGGCTGTCAGGGAAGCAGATAGGCATCAATCAGGCAGGCAGGCAGGCAGGTGAGCAGTTAGGAGCCAGCAGTCCCGGATTGTGAGAGGGATGTCCAACTGCCGGTTCAGGGATCGGGCCTAAACCGGCAGTTGGACAGCTTCCAAGGGGGTCCCAGATTGGAGAGGGTGCAGGCCAGGCTGAGGGGACTCCCCCCCGATGCATGAATTTTGTGCACCGGGCCACTAGTGTGTATATAAATACTCTTATTGATTTCAGAGAGGAAGAGAGAGAGAAACATCAATGATGAGAGCGAATCTTAGATTGGCTGCCTCCTGCACGCCCCACACTGGGGATCGAACCCACAACCCGGGCATGTGCCCTGACCTGGAATCAAACCGTGACCTCCTGGTCCATAGGTCGACGCTCAACCCCTGAGCTGGCCGGCCGGGTAGTTCATCCCTTCTGTATGTAAATGAGAAAGGATCTCGTCTGGAGCGGGGATGGATGGACGCATGACGCAGGGCGGGGATGTGTGTGAGGGAGGAACTGCTCTCCCTGCCATGCATGTCATCACCATGGCAACGCTCACCTGCTGCCGGGTGAAAGGTTGACCGCCCCTGCACTGCATCAACCACAACCTCGGGGGCTCGGACCGGGCACTGAGCTCAGCTCCCGGCTCTGACCTTGGAGCTCGGCCGCCCCCCACCTGTGCAATGAACCCCAGCCTGCTGTGTGTCCCCCGCACCCCGCCCCCCTCAGCCAGTGGAAGAGGTTCCCCCCGGAGCCCAGGAGGCCAAGCTGCAGCAGGGGTGGTGAGAAGGGGAACCAGGCCTCCTGAGCGCCTTCCGGCCCCCCCTCCCGGGCAGCAGGGTGGAGGCTGGCCGGCCGCCACTAAGGGGGTGCCCCCAGCACCCCAGGACCTGCTTCCAGGAGCCACCACCCCCATTGTCAACCACGCCTCTGGTCCTGTAGGTCCCTGTGGCCCCTCTCAGGGCTCAGGGCCCGCACTTTGCAGCTGCAGAGCTGGGAGGGAGGAGGGGAGAGAGGGGAGGGAGGGGGAGGGAGGAGCCAGTGGACACACAAAGAGAGATACATCCATTGGTTACCTCCTGTAGGCACCGGGAATGGGGATCAAACTTGTAACCTGGGAGGGGCCCCTTCGCAGACCAAGGTGCCACTTCCTACGCCCTGTGTGGGGGCCGCGTGGGGAGCTGCTGCACAGGAGCTGGCCCTGCAAGCGCTTGGGGCTGGGGAGTCTTCCCCTTAGTCCTCGCTGCCCTGGGGGGGGGTGGGGAGGGGGTCTTAAACACAAGGTCACCCCCTCTCCTCTCTCCTGGGAGTTATGTCACTGCACACATTCTGAGTGCTTGGAAGAGAGGGAGGAAGAGGGGAAGAGAGAGAGGGGGAGGGGAGGGAGAGAGAGAAAGGAGGGGGAGAGAGAAGAGGGGAGAGGGAGAACCAGCAACTTCATAGAGCATGAGATGAAGTGGATTAGCTGATTGCTTTAGGATCATTCCAGAAGTGAGAGAATGAGAATGTATCAGCCAAAAGTTGCTTAGAAGGGACATGACATAAAGATGATGAAATTTAAAAAACATGAGATCTTACCGAGTTGTATATATATATATATTTTTCAAATACATATTTTTATTGATTTTAGAAAGGAAGAAAGTGGGTGAGAGAGAGAGAGAGAGACAGAAACATCCATGATGAGAGAGACTCATGGACCGGCTGCCTCCTGCACGCCCCACACTGGGGGTCGAGCCCACAACCCAGACACGTGCCCTAACGGGGGAATCGAACCGCGACCTCCTGGTTCACAGGTCGATGCTCACCCCTGAGCCACGCTGGCCGGGCCAAGTTGTATATTCTTATGCATTCATTATGTTTTTACCACCTCCCCCCCCCTCCCCCATTTGGCAACCATCAGCGTGTGTCTAGTTCCTGTTGGGTTTCTTCATTGTTTAAAGCACATTGTTTTCTTGAGGGAAGATGGAAATGAGTGGGTCGCAGAGAAGAAGAAGAAAAGGGAAGCGTCTGTGACATGCAAAGCAGGCGAAGTGGGAATCCGGCGAGATGAGACGGGAGAGCTCGGCCTGGACCCGGGGCCGCCACACTCGCCTCCCACTGGCCACCCCCAGATGTGTCCTCCATGAGGCGTCTTTCTGGTCCCTACCACCTGCCCCCCCGCCCCCGCTGGCTCTTCCTTCCGGCCTGGCCTCCATTACGGGGTCACCCATGTTGGCCCCACACTCAGGCAAGACCTCCCTGTGCCCTGGGCAGAAGGACTGATGAAGAATCCAGGTCATTGTGCTGGCCAGTGTGGCTCAGTGGATAGAGCGTCGGCCTGCAGACCCAAGGGTCCTGGGTTTGATTCCGGTCAAGGGTACGGACTTCAGTTGCAGGCTCCTCCCTGGACCCCTGGCCCTGGTCAGGGCGTGTGCAGGAGGCCACCCATCCGTGTGTTTCTCTCACATCGGTGGATGTTTCTCTCCGGCTCTCCCTCTCTCTTCCACTCTCTCTAAAAATCATTGGAAAAATAGCCTCAGGGGAGGATTAAAAGAGAGAAAGAGAGAGAAGAATATATATCATCCTCTTCCTCCCTGACCTGGACGCTCTGATGGTCCGGCCCCCAGGCTGAAATCTAACCCTTTAGGATCCCATCCGAGAGTCCAGCCCTCCCTCCCACTGGGATGTGGTGAAACCCAGGCCCTTCCCTTTCTCAAACTAGGTGATTGGGTGGAACCCTCGTGCAGGTGTGGCCTGCCCCTCCCCCACCCGGCCCTGTGGCCCCAGCCCCGCTGTGCCTCCGAGGGCCACTCAGCCATGGTGGATCGCTTCCTCCCGGAGGCCACGCCACGTGTTCAGGCTGCACTGTAATTGTTTGTTTACTCGTCTGCTTTCACTACCGATGGATCGATCCGGAGCCGCTGGGGTGAGGGTGGGGGTGGGAGTGAGGGTAGGGGTGGGGGATAGGGATGGACATCACTCCTATGTGTGCCCACCCGGCCCGATGAAGGTCCAAATGGAATTGCATCCCCTAAATCAGTGGTTCTCAACCTTCCTCACGCCACGACCCTTTAATACAGTTCCTCGTGTTGTGGTGACCCCCAACCATAAAATTATTTTCGTGGCCACTTCATCACTGTCATGTTGCTACTGTTATGAATCGTCATGTAAATATCTGATCTGCAGGATGGATTTTCATGGTTACCAACTGAACATCATTAAAGCATAGTGATGAATCCCCAAAACCATATGTAATTACGTATGTGTTTTCCGATGGTCTTTGGCGACCCCTGTGAAAGGCTCGCGACCCACAGGTTGAGAACCGCTGCCCTAAATTCTTCCTGTGTCTTCAGAGCCATGGTTTTCAAAGGCCTTTTTATATGTCTCTTGAGGGCGTCTGCACCCCTGTCCCTGGCTTGTGATAGAGTATATTTTATAGACTCAACTCCCCTTTAAAAGATTGGGTGTCACACGCTTTCGCCCCAGTCAGGGTCGCTGCCGGAGCAGCGAGCTAAGTGAACACAAGTGTTTGCTCAAAAATATTCAAGCTGGCCCGGCCGGCAGGGCTCAGTGGCTGAGCGTGGGCCTAGGAACCAGGAGGTCACGGTTCGATTCCCGTTCAAGGCACGTGCCTGGGTTGTGGCCTCCATCCCCAGTGTGGGGCGTGCAGGAGGCAGCCGGTCCATGATTCTCTCTCATCATGGATGTTTCTCTCTCTTTCTCTCTCCCTCCCTTCCTGTCTAAAATCAATAAAAATATATTTTAAAAATAGTCAGAGCTAACCCCCAGATGGTTTTCCACTGCAAATGTATCTTAAGAGAGAGGCCGTGGAGCTAAAGTTGACCCTCAAACATGGGTTTGAACTGTGAGGCTCCATAATACCCGTACTTTTTCAATAAATGTATGTACGCATTTTTAGGGATGTACCAGGCACCCATCAGAATCATGAAGAACATTGTATGTTCATTTGTCTCTTCTGGTTTATTTTTTATTTCCTTTTTTTTTGTTAATCTGAACCCCAGGATATTTTTCCATTGATCTTTAGAGAGAGTGGAAGGGAGAGACAGAGACAGATAGAAATATCGATGTGAGCGAGACACATCGACTGGTTGCCTCCTGCACGTACCCTGACCAGGGATCGAGCCTGCAACTGAGGTAGGTGCCCTTGACCGGGAATCGAACCCCAGACCCTTCCGTCCGCGGGCCGACGCTCTATCCACTGAGCCACACCGGCCAGGGCCATTTGTCTCTCTTAATGAAAAGGGCTGGGAAGTATGGCTGAGGGGGGGAAAGGGTTAGCTTTGGTAAGAGACCGATCTTGAGTTTTCTTGCCCGTTTTTCCCTCGTCAACAGGGAATAATATCTCAAGTCACGGAAGCATGAATTTTTTGAAGCAGGATTTGCTGTCGGGCACGCGAGTTCCGATTTCAATCCTGGGCCCGCCAGGGGATTGGGGAAAGAGGTGGGGCGGCCCTGCTAAGCTCTCAGCGGGTCTTTGCATGGGAGATGGTCTGAGTGTTCAGGTTATCACATGGCTGGGTTTCCTATGCCCTAACAGGATAACCATGGCCCAAAATATCCAATAGGTAATTATTGACCCACTAGAGGCCCGATGCACAAAATTCGTGCAAGGGGCTCGGCCCTCGCAGCCCCGGCTTCATCCAGAAGGTCGTCCAGCTGTTTGGTCTAATTAGCATATTAGCTCTCTATTATATAGGATTCCCGTGGTCATGTGAAATCAAATCCAGGTCTTGTCTACTAACGAATCCCCTTGCCACCAGCCGCCCATGCTCCACCTGCACCATCATCTCTTGGGTAAGAAAATTCTTGGTTATTTGGGGGTTCGGGGGAAGGGAGGAGGGAGGATACGGTGTGTCCCAACAGGAATGAATATTGCGAGGGGAGCATCAGTTGGATACTCAAGGGCCATCTTCCTCGCAGGGACAAAAATCTCCCCGAAGGCCTGCGCCCTGAGCCGAGCGACTCGAACCGAGGAAGTGAGATGCCTGTCGCACTGGCTTTGAACGAGCTTCTTGACTTCCTGCAAAGAGGCCGCGGGGCCGCGCTTTTGGAGAAGTTAGTGAAACCGAATCTGACATCACCACCCACCGCCCCTGGAGACCAGCGAGTGGCTCGTTCTCAGGGCGGCAGAGGAGGAAATCGCTGGGGTCTGAGAAGACATCCGCGAGGGGTAGGTGCCCGCGCCCCGTCTTTGTCACCGGGTTTCCGCGGGGGACACACTTGCCCGGCGATAACCATTGTCTTCCCCTTCGCAGAGGGACGCATGCTGGGCCACAGGCCGATCTCCTGATAATGACCATGGATTTGTGGCTGAAGCTGCTGGCTTTGGCCTGTGTCTGTCTGGACGCCGGGGTCGTCGGGCAAGGTAAGGACCTGGGACTCTGACGACTTCCTCTCCGAGCGTTTGCTTGAGGGGGGACATCGCTCTGAGACACGGACATAGGAACAAGTGAAGGGGTAGTGACCGGAAGGGAGGGAGTGGGATGGGCAGAGCTGTCCGAGCTCAGACAGACCCTGGCTCGCGCTGAGACCCAAGCCATGGTTTCTGCTGAAAAAAATGCCTACCTATTTAAGGGACAAAAAATTAAAATTTAAAAAAAAAAATCACAAGTTAAAAGGATGAGTCTTCGCTCACAGACTGTGCCAGGGGATTACCAAAGCCATTGTTACTCCGCCCTCGCACGGGCCTGGGTGTCCGTGTATGAAATCCAAGGACACGTTAAGGACCCACATAAGTGAATTTTTATCCCCTTAACAAGAAATGCATTTTTTTTTAAAAGTCATGCTATGCCTTCGCTTGCACGTAGCCACCCCCACTTTCCGGACCAGCAGGCCACTTCCTCAAATGCTGCTGAGTAGCAATGGGCTCCGTGGCCGCCTTTGTTCCATGGCCGTGGAAGAGAATGCCCGTGGCCATGTGGGAAAAGGTCACCTGTTGGCCTGTTCTTATCCCAGAAGGTGTCTTAGGTCGAGTTCTTGGTTCCTTACCCGTCCTTACGCGTCACTGTGCGACTCACTCGCTTTGGAGATTCGTAGGGGGCCACCGCCCTTCCTGGGTGATGGGTGGGTGTGAGGACCTCGGCAGTGGCGAGATAATAACACGACCCCCCAACAATGAAGCCCACGCGAGGCTCCTGAGGGAAAAGTGACTCATGGGACGTCGGGGACCTTTTGACGTTTGAGAATCTCTGTAGGCTGCTCGGTCGGTGGAAGGAACATTTTTTACGATGTCGTGCCTGAAGCTGTTTGTTGTTGTTTGGTGTTGAAAGGACATAGACACACTTTGAAAATCTTTTTCTATTTTATTTGAGATCTGTCTTCCCACCCCTCTCCTTCCCTCTGAAAGGCAGGGCAGTAGCTGCCTCCTGGATTGGTTGCATTTGCCAGTTTCTATTCTGTGTGGCCCCGGACGGTGGGAAGCGGTGTGCGAGCGTGTGTGTGTGTGTGTGTGTGTGAGAGAGAGAGAGAGAGAGATCTCAAACTAACAATGTCTTTGTTCATCTTCCTATCCTTCACAATATTTATCATAAAGATTTCCAAGAAGTAGACAATTAACATAAGCCAAACTT